GCATCTAAAAATGTCATTTTCAAGTCCAAATTATTGCAACAACAAAGAAGCCCGAAGTTGTCCTCCAGCCCTGGCTAGATAAATGTTTGGATTTCTGCGATTATTTTTTAACAGGAGTTGCTGAATATCAAAAACTTATTACGCGAAATCCTATTTTTTTAGAACGCGTTGAAGGAATAGGTATTGTTAGTGCAGAGGAAGCAATAAATTGGGGTTTATCAGGACCAATGCTACGAGCTTCCGGAGTACGATGGGATCTTCGTAAAGTTGATCATTATGAGTGTTATGACGAATTTGATTGGGGAGTCCAGTGGCAAAAAGAAGGGGATTCCTTAGCTCGTTATTTAGTCCGAATTGGTGAAATGACGGAATCCGTAAAAATTATTCAACAGGCTTTGGAAGGGATTCCAGGGGGGCCTTATGAAAATTTAGAAACTCGAAGTTTTGATAGAGAAAGGAATCGAGAATGGAATGATTTTGAATATCGATTTATTAGTAAAAAAACTTCTCCCGCCTTTGAATTGCCGAAACAAGAACTTTATGTTCGAGTTGAAGCACCAAAGGGAGAGTTGGGAATTTTTCTAATAGGGGATCAAAGTAGTTTTCCTTGGAGATGGAAAATTCGCCCGCCGGGTTTTATCAATTTGCAAATTCTTCCTCAATTAATTAAAAGAATGAAATTGGCTGATATTATGACAATACTAGGTAGCATAGATATTATTATGGGGGAAGTTGATCGTTGAAATGATAATTGATACAACAACAGTACAAGCTATCAATTCTTTTTCCAGATTGAAATCCTTAAACGAGGTCTATGGAATTATATGGATGCTTGTCCCTATTTTGACTCTTGTATTGGGAATCACGATAGGCATACTAGTAATTGTGTGGTTAGATAGAGAAATTTCTGCAGGGATATAACAATGTATTAGACCTGAATATACTGGTCCTTTTGGTGTTCTTCAAGCTCTAGCGGATGGAACTAAACTACTTTTCAAAGAAAATCTTTTTCCATCTAGAGGAGATACTCTTTTATTCAATATCGGACCATCAATAATAGTCATATCAACTCTATTAAGCTATTTAGTAATTCCTTTTGGCTATCACTTTGTTTTAGCAGATCTAAATATCGGTGTCTTTTTATGGATTGCCATTTCAAGTATTGCTCCCATTGGACTTCTTATGTCAGGATATGGATCAAATAGTAAATATTCCTTTTTAGGTGGTCTACTAGTTGCCGCTCAATCCATTAGTTATGAAATACCATCAACTCTTTGTGTATTATCCATATCTCTATGTGTGATTTGTTGAAACATAAATATTTCCCTATTCCCTTTTTCTTTATTAGGAAGAAGGTGAAATTAATTGAATATATATCTTTATTTTTTTATTCATCATTTGAATTGATGAACTAAATTAGATAGTTATATGAGTGAAAGAAAACAGCTTCTAAATTTGCAGTAAAAAAAATCGAGACTCATTTCTTATGTACAACAGTAAAGCAGAAATAAACATAAGAAGATGAGATCATTTGTCCCAAAATTGGTTGATTAGTCATCCTGGCTTGAAAGCGGACTCGAGAATCAACCTTAATGAGTTTTTACTATATATATATATAAGTTGATTAGTCATCCTAGCTTGAAAGCGGACTCAGAGAATCAACCTTAATGAGTTTTTACTATATATATATATTACTGTAATGCTACTAAGCAGTTAAGTAAAAATAAAAATGAGAGGATGGTTAGGAACACCAAGATACATAAAAGATTAGTAATAGAATTATCCAAAATAAAAGAATACTAATTTAGGCTTTAAATTAGTAGAAATGATCAGGCAGTACTCCCTATGATTCTGATCTAGAGTACGCTCCTATCCACCAATTAAACAAATGACTATCAGGAACGAACTAATCCTTTACCCTTTTTTTCAAAAGGAAGAATACGAACAAAAAAAAGAATAGAATTACAATAGAAAAAGAAGAATGTATATGAGAAATGCATGAATATCTTCACAAAATTGAATATCTTCTTTTTATAAAAGAATACACATTCTATTATATTATTCTCCTTGGGAGGTACCAAATAAATGGCTACTTGAATCGGGATTTTGAGCATAATGATTTTACTAACTTGTAAAAAGCAGGCTTAACCCTTGGGGATGCGATAATACATCTAAGAAATTATTCCATCGAACAGATTCCCCCCTGGAGCTAGGAATAGCAAAATAGACTAAATGTTCTATCTAAGCCAAGGAACTTACTCTAAGTAGTTGATTAGTACTTAAAAGTGCATTTTTATCATGGTTTTATATCATCATTTTGCACTTGAAGTATCAATAACTCATTAACTAAA